CTCTCTCTCTCTCTCTCTTTCTATTTCTGACTCTCTGGCGATCTCTTTTACTATTCCACACGGTCACCGTCTCCTTTTCCCGTGGCCACGCTCGCCCGTTTGCTTCTCAGTCTCTCCGCGGCGGTATCAATTAATCTACCCTCTCTGACCCTCTTCACGAGGTGCGTTCACCCCGCGCGCACGACGGTATTTCCGGCCGAAACTTCGTTTCGCAGTCTATGGGGTCGAGGCACTCACCCTTCGTTCCACGTTTTCATTTCGCGGAGCAGCGATAAGAATCCATCTGGACGTGAGCGAAGAACCGCGTGTATCGCGGACTCACTGTCGCCGATTATTGGATTTCGACAGGTAAGGGATGCTGCGAACACTTTGTCAGACAGGTAAACTATTTTGCAGTTTAGTTTATGGACTTTCTAGCGAGGAGAGTCGAGCAACGAACATACATTTGGTGTCAAAATTCGAAAGAGCATATATTCATCAGAAAATGATATATGGATTCAAGTATCAAGTTTTGGAGTTAAAAAACTTCGCCAATAAAGTAGTATGTTGTACGATTAAAAAGCAACATTTTTTCTGTCTCATGATGTGGATAAATAAGACTTTGTTATGGATTCTATTTACTTAAACAATCAAGTGAACTTTTGCCGGTTGGCTCTACTTATTTATACCTACTTAATTACGAACGAGAATAGATGAACTTTATCTACATAAACTACTATTTGTCGCGCAATAAATTTGTACTGTAGCTCAAGCGGCGAGTCTCATCAATTACTAACAAACGTAATCTATTAATTTAATGAACTCTCTTTTCAGTCCTCAATAGTACTTGCGTGATTAAAAACTATATTTGAATGTCAAGTTCGGAATTTTTAACTAATATGAGAATTCGAAATTCTACGGAAATCGTTCATAAAAATCATTTTCTCGAGGATTTTTTCGAGGAAATATTTTGGAACATTTTCGGATTAATAATAAACACACACGACTGGTTAGCCATTCAGCTGATACTACTGACTTTAGCAGCAGTCCATTTGCCGGATCCCATTCCGGCAGGTTCGTAAGTCCCGCGGGATGTGAGATGTCCCGAAGTCGATAGTGATTAAAACTTTGACTTAAACTACCCGGCCAGAACTCGGCTGGCTATTCGGGGATCGATTTGGTATTCCGAATATGTGACATCTCGCGAGTTCGACGCAACGAGACGATCCGTTGCGCGAGGAATGAGAATTGACGCGAACGCGACAGTAATAATCAATGTCAATCGCAAGAATATCCTGTCTTTAGATTAAGCCCGATCTGTATCCCTCTGTTTGTTTGTTGAATTTATCTAGATTCGAATAATTTCTTTGTCGTTGCTAAGGAATCATCTCGGGAAAGCTAGAGACTTTGAATTCGTTTCCGAATTCATGTACAATGTAATTTATAAATTTTTTATACTTGTAAAATGTACATCTTTGATGAATGATCATTTTGCGGAGAAGTGCTTGTGATATTCAATGTGACGAACTTTGGAAATGAAGGTCGATGACGGTCAGTCACGAAAGTATTTGCACACCTTTCTGCAATTGCCATTTTCGAACTACCTTTTTAGAATATAAGTTTCAAAATCCGTATCAGCAGAATTCTAATTAATTAGATTATGGATCGATAATCAGGACAATGTGAATATTTCTTTGACTCTTTATACTCTTTTATCACGTTCTATTACTTAACTCAAAAATATGACTCGTATTCCTTTCTTCATAATTCTTACAAATATTATGAAACTATTTCTTCCAGAAATATTTAATATTCCCGTTACATCTGATACATTCACAGATAGAATAAAATTCCTTGAGACACGCTAATAAAATTTCTTTTCTCCATGACGTAGAAAATGACCATAGCAAATGAAACAGGCTATAGTATATTGCTGATGGTAGAACCGGATGTTTACGTTATTAAGCAAATGCACGAAGATCGCGTGCTATATAGGGGTCTCAAAATGCGGGCCTAAACGCCGACTAAGCAGCATGAAATCCTCATCGATCGAGTCGAACGACGATGTCGACGTAGACGCAGCACAAACCTATCATCGTTTTCGAAACCACGAACGTTAACTACGAAATCTTCGATTAAAAGTGTGAATACAAAGATAAATCCTTAATTCATATTGAATTGCATCACGAGAAGTATACAATATGCAAATGTAAAACTTTGGTAATGCAGTGATAATATTTTACAATCCTGGGTTGTTTATTTTCTGGAATTTTTCGAAAGAGGATAAAAGAAAAAATATGAACAATTAACTCTAGAACTATTAAACTTGTATCAGAGACAAAGATATAAAAGTAACGTAAGTAGTATGAATAGATATTATTCAGTCATCGGTCACAGATTCATTAGAAATTTTGAAAATTCTACATTTTACTTTCAGCGGATATTATTAAGGATAAAACTACCAACTGAAATGTAGAACTAACATCAACAGGAGAAAATAAAAAATAAAAAACACAAGCTTCTAATACAAATTTTTTTACAAAAAGATGTATCCTATTTTCAGGAAACTTTTATAAAAAATCACTTACATGAATTGATCGTCTCGACCACTCTGATAGCTGTACCGTCAAATAAATAAATGCTACAGAAAACCATCAAGACCGACATTTCGCGTCTAGGAATTCCGCTTAGAACGAGACGAAAGGATTCGCGGGAATATTTTTCTCGGGGCTCACCCTTCCTCCCTGGAAAACCGAGAAATGTTTATCGTATATTACCGGCTGGAGGGTAAACGGCGCGGATACATTTGTTAGGATAAATTCCAGCTGTCTGGAAAGACAGAGGAACAGAGAGACAGAGAGGGAGACTGGCAGTGGTGAAAGCAGCCAGAAGTTTTGAAGCGTAACGAATTACTCGGATATTTAATGTATATACGTGATTTCGGATTTCGTAGTGTGGAAAATAGTTGAGAGAACGAGGGAGTCCGGTTAGCCCGTATCAATTACCTAACTGCGTGCCAGAAAAAAAAGAAGGAAAAAATAAAAAGAGAGAGAGAGAGAAGATAGAACGGGGAGTAAAAACGGACGAACGGACGAGCGAGGCGTGATACGATTGTCGCTCGTATGTATCCCATTTGTCTGTCCCGAACTTTTTAATTAATAACATTATAGAACAGAGTCGACGATCTGGCTCGCGGAGAATCACGGCCGGGAATATCCAACACGGAGAAATCGTTTTCAGCACGCCTACGTCGCGCTAAAGCGTTATTCTCGCTTTAATTCGTCGCGGCTCTCGGAATTGATGATTTTTATCCGAGTGTATTTCACCGGGACGCGAAACCGTTCTCTCAAACTGTGACAGCTCTTTGATTGGCCGCACCTATATCGGCTAATGGAATGAATGGATCGCTTGGGAACGCGGCATCCAACACTGAACTCGCGTTGATAAAAACGAATCGCGATATCGCTTTGAACGAGATAATGGAGAGAAAGGAGGATGCATCGTTAATTGAAATATTCGTGTCGTTTAAATGCTCTCGTTTGAAATATATTCTTCCAAATGCAATGCGCCTGTGAGGAAGAATTGCTATAATTGAAAAATGTAGATAAATTGTAAATATTATTTAGATAGACCACATGGAAAAACTGCGAGGAGAAAAATATCGTCGTATTTCAAATGTTTTACTTGAATGTTGAATAAATCTGATGAATTCGAAGAACCGATACAAAATATATTCAAAGTGGTAGCGCAAATTATAACATTTAGTTCGATTTATTAGAATTAAATAAAGAAAAGAAACGCAATATCCCACGTAAGATCATTTTCAAAAAAAACATACGTGTGGATATACATAAAAATCTTGATGAACTCCATTTCCATTTACAGGAACAAAATTTCTCCGGAAAAAAGGGCCACGTACGCGCTCGAGCGAATTGGAGGATTCAAGGACACGAGAGCCACGAAAGAATTGTTCGCAATTTCGGGGCAACCTCGCCGCTGCGGTTCCCGCGTCTCGCGTCTGTGCATTCTTATTCTTGCGAAATAACCTTAAATTCTGTTTGCCAGTCCTTTTTACACAAAAGAACCGATATGTAGATCGAGCGTGGGGGTCCTCCTCCGTATGAAAGGCTAATACCGCGCCGCTACGTGTTCGGTGTGCGAAACGTGTCGATGCAGAAGCACAGCGAAAGACAGCGCGAGAAATTCGCAGCGAGGGAAAAAAAGACTTGGAAGAGAGAGAGAGGAGGGGAAGAAAAGGAAGAAAGAACGGGGGAGAAAATTCGGACTATAAAACCATTGCTTTACGGATCATAGGAAGACGACTGCATTGAAACGACTTTCCCTTCGCGTTGAACGAGCGAAGCATGTTGCCAGCGACACGACAGAACGCCGGATAATAAACGTCGTGGCGATTTGTTGGCGAATTTACGCGAGAAATTTTTACGAGCCTCCGCGTGTCGAACGTGTCGAGACGATTTTTTCTACACGTTGAAAATCGCTCACAACCGTACACGGTTGTTTCTTATATTTGCTCGCTTTTCTTTTTCTTTTTTTCTTTTTTTTTTTTTTCTTTTTCGACGGAAAGTCACTCGTTCTTTTCGGTCGTGCAAGCTCGAGAAAGTTAATGGAAGAAGTTGCGCCAGCGGGAAAGTTTTTGAACTTCAGTTTACAGGGGAAAAAGCAGAGGATTTTTCTTGGAATAATTATTTAAAATTTTAAGCAACGCGCTACAGAGCCGCGAGCGTGCGCTCGCTTCTTATCGGCTGCAACGCCGACTACAGCTACCGACTTTCGTTTGAGTGAATATTTAATAATGAAAAGAGAAGCGAGAATGAAGGAAAATTTGATGCCCCGCCATGCATTAATATTTGAAACGACATCGAACATCATTCAAACACCGAACGAAATTCTAAGCACGATAGGATATCTAATATAATTCACACATTTAAGATTTAACAGGAGTTAAATGTTTCGAGTTATAAATTTAAAAATACTAACACGTAGAGTACCATTTACCTCATTATCGATTAAACATTCTATATCTATTTTCTATCTTCTATACCAGAACTTTCTATTCTCAAATGTATCAAATTTAGAAACAGTACCTAAATATTCTGTACTCGAACCTCGTCACCTGTATTACATTCATTATGCACCCAATTTGTTCTTTATTTAACTAAGCTTTTTATTACCAATTGCACACCGATGATAGAAAATACCAAAAATTTACTACATAAATATTTACATGCGTCTTGAGAGCTTACATCAGAAAAAAATTTACCTTTAAAAATTGCATATTATTAGACCAAAACTATGAACAAAACTTTAGAGAAATGAAAGTACAACAGGGAAAAGCTTTCAATATAATATAATAATAAAGTTTTAATATAATATAGTAAAGAATACAAGCTTTTAATGTAACAAAGAATGCTTCTGTTTACTTCATAAACAGAATCAGCGAAACGTGCTGTTTTAAACCTATAAAATTTCTACGAAAAATGATCAGTTACTTGTTTCAAAACGATTCATAGCATTAGAGGACGCAAGAAAACCGCTATACGCGCAAGATTCGGTGTAGTTTGACAACCGAACTGAAAATTCTGCGAAGCTTATTGTACACGTTCCATATCCGTTCCATTTCCTCATCGTAGGTGGCGACTTGTACTGCTTTCGGATGGAATAGGCGGGGTAGTAACGTCTGGAGCGGACAGATCCCATTCCGGCTTGCAGATCTGCCACCCGCAACCCAACCGCCCCTGAGCCTGACCGCGGATCGGACGCAAAAGTTTGCCTCGCTCTTGCTTCGCTCACCGCACCTTGCAGGTGAAACGACAGACTTTGCGTCGAGGAGAAATTCCGATAAGTGGTTGCTGGCCATATTGGCACTAGCAAGTGCTCGCCCCCACGGTTGCTCGTATATCCAGATATTTCATTGATTCGAATTGCTTCCGTTCTGTTATATCAGACTGTTTTCCGCGTATATTGTTTATTTAACAGATGGCTCAAGATTTGGTCAGAACGAGCTATAAGAAATTCTGTGATTACTGAATTAGGGACATGTTATTCAGAATTTATGTTCTTATGGATAAATCACACTAAAGAAGTGGAAATTCTGCATGCAATTCAATCTCATGTTATCAAAATTGTTTTTATATTTGATTTTGGAGCTAAGTATGCATTTTCTTATCCTCTTCAAAATTTTCAATATGCTGTTCGTCTTTTATCAATTTTATCAATTTCTCGCCTATTGTACTAAAATTCTTTTTGTTACTGCGACATTAAAAATCCTAAGTCAACAATTAGCCTCTTCTATATTCTTTGTTTATCAATATAACAATTACTCGAGCTTTGTCACATGAACTTTACCTATATAAAATCATATCAAGTTCTCTAACGCACGAACTCAAATATCAATGATCATATACTATGCGATAGTAATACTATAAAAAACGGTTCCTCATCCCTAGCCTCACGTCGTACGGGAGAATCGACGAGTTCGCCCTTCGTCGTTTCTTCCAGAAGCTATCGTTCACCAATCATCCGTCTCCGGAGAGTGCATTTCATTTTCGCGAGTGCGCGTATACCAGCGTCTGCTTGAAAATTTATGAGCGGTCCCGCATGTCGCGCTCGTGAGATTTCTGCGGCAAGAAAATATCGCGGCACCGATTTTACATGTGACTTTACGACCCGACGTGCTCGCGAGACAAGTCGACAGTAAATACATTTTCCCTCGTACGACACGCGTTTCGAACCGGGAGATTCGCTGTTTGGTTTGATGTACAACTCTATCGGAGCTACGTGGAAGAATATTCAGAAATCGAGCGCGATATTGACGTCTCTGACATTCCGCAGCATTTTTAAATTCATGAAACGCGAAACTAGAAAGTTATACGTACGTATTTTTACGTTTCAATGTATTTAATTCTGAAGTAGTATCGTTAGATTAATTTATCATGGTTAATATAATTTAAAAAATTAAATGTAACTTTAATTTATTGTAATTACACAACAAAAATTTAAGCTATTTAATTTTATTCTGCAGCTTATGTTTTATGTTGAAATTAATGGCAAAATTAAATTAAACAAAAAACTAAGTGATTTAATTCTAAATTATTACAGTCGCTGGCAATAATACTAAATAAAAAATGTGATTGAATAAAATTCCAAACCAGCGAATTTTAGACATTTGAACTCTCCAACATCACGTACAGATAAATAGAATAAAATTTGAATGCTACAAATGATGCGATATATGAATGTGGCGCTAAATAAAAAGAAGAGATTATCAGTGAAATTAGAAACTTTAGATTTCCCTAACCAGTTTTGAGCGACATACGACAGGTGCGCATCCAAAGACTGTAACATTGCAGCTTGGGTCTCTTGAGAATGCTTTAGTTACAAACATTGCAGCATCGCATTATGTATACCAAACTAGATTACATATACATGTTAGAATTTTAAGCTATCGAGGATATGAATATTTTTACATAATCGGTTACGAAAAACGTCCCCAGGAGTCGTAGAACACATTTCAATATTTTACGTACAAAATTCTGTAAATTTTGTATAATCAAAACCTCGTTCATGATTACCATAAATAATATTTAGAACTGAGAAACAGCACAGTGTAACTCGTGCGTCTGGAAATATTTGTGAAATTACAAAATGTAAATTTCCTTTTTTCCTGACTCGTGTAACTTTTACTGATATTGCAATTTTGTATGAGAAAAATTCATCACGATAATAACATTAATTATTCCAAATCTTTTTCTATTTCTTTAAAGTTTCTTATTTTTTGACATTGGATGTTTTAACTTTTTATCCAAATTTTAAGTACAAGAAAAGTCTGATACATCTACGTATCTACAAAAATAAATCACCATTCTGTTGTATTTGGCAAAGAAGAAAAATGGAATAATATTATATTAGATCGACACCAATATTATTAAAAATTCATACATCATTTCCAACACTAGTGCATTTCTATATTACTACAGATTAACATTCCACAAGCGTCTACGTTAATCTTGACATTTCGCTTTCGCACGATCTGTTCGCGCCCTGACAACTTGACGGAGGGGTAAAAGTGTCGCGTGACGCGTCACGCGACGACCACAAAGGAACGGCTCGTAGTCATATTTGCGGATAATATTGACCAGAGCTGTCAGACCCTCGCCCTCTAACGAATTTCATATTTCCTCGCCAGGGGTGTATCCGCCCTTGTTACAACCCCGAGTGCCAGGATCATCGTAAGATTCTCGCGCATTATTTTTTCTTCCGACTTGTCCGCGTATTTACACACATAATCTACGCATTTATCTGTATTAGTGTTTGACGGGCGAAAAAATATTTTCTTTGCATCGGGGGGTTGTAACTTCTCTCGTGAAAATTATCCACCTCCTGAGAATTTTATGCTTGTAGGAAGAAGCCTACTACTTTTTCTCTTTATTTCTCGATCTCACACAATAAAATACGTACATCGATAGTGCAATTATTTTGTATTAGAAAAATTCAATAGTAGTAAGTTTACATTCTTTCTTTTCTCTTATCCTTTGAAATCTTCAAACTTCGTTTTTGACAGTGGTTTGTTTTTCCTTTGATGTGTAAGTCAGAATTCTTTTGGTGAGACAATTGTCAAAGTGAAACAGTGGAAATGAACTTATTATTGAGGAAAAATAATCGGTAGTAAGAAAAATTAATAATTTCCTATTCTATCTCCAGTGCAAATTTATAAATATTCTACTGTACGACAGAAACAGGGGCATATCATTCCTCGGTTAAAACAGCTGAAACATCGCGGAAAGAACGAGATATCCTCGGTGGCTCTGTAGACGAAGGAAATGACGTGTGCAATAATAGCCACACTCGAGCGAACACCAAGGCCGCCTTGACGCGGTTTGTTCTTGTTGTTGTTGTTCGACAAACTGCTGGAAAATTACTAGCGAGCGTGGTTGCCGTTAACGATATTTGTAGCTGGACCGGACTTGAACTTCTCAGGGCCTTCCCCCTTACCACCATCTACGATGGCAAAGGACTCACGACAGCTAATGGTCAAGTCTCTGCGACCCGAATGACCACAAAGTGATCGCCTTCTCCGCTTCCTGACTTTGCCTAAAGTGTTCCTACCTTATTGGCGGCGCGCAAAATGGACGAAACCCTGATTTAACGCAAGTATTCACTCTAAAACTACATCCGCTGGAACAAAAGCCTCTTGCGAACAAAGAATATTTATGTAGGAAATATTTTCGTGTCCTGTACACTTCTTAGATGATTAAACATATTTTGATAGTTTAACTTCTGTACTTGTACATATCAGGCCATTGCATATGAATTGACCGATTTCACAAACCTATATAAGTGTTGTCGAATAATGTGTATAAAATGTTTGAAGCTTGGTGAACATGACGTACTTTGCCAGTGCTTTGTCGATTGTTTTGTTAGAAGAAAGTATATTCACAAACCGTAATTGAATTGGATAACGTTGAAACTTCAACTGACCGACGTAAAAGTTGTAGTACAAGTTTCTGAAAATCAAGAGAGCAAACTGCCTGTTTAGTAAATGCAAGAGAGCAAAAACCAGTTTAGTAAATGCAAACATGAAAAATAGGCTATACCGTTATTAAAAACGTCTAATGATGTTCGTTATAATGTCTTCTTGTGAAATATACAATGAAATAAATCTATCTAAAAGAACAATTCTAATCCAAATAGACCGAACAATTTAAGATAACGTTCCAAATTAATCACATGAGTACCCATTCATATTACACACGTCATGTTGCGATATACTCCAATGCACGAAAACTATTGGATGAATCGACAGAGAACGAAATAACGATTACAAGAGGAGAAGAGAAAATAAGAATCCTCAATTTAATCGCTTCTAACGAGAATGAAAGAAGAGGAGGTCGACGACCGATCGTTGAATTACGAGAAAAATCTCTGGCCTAACAACCGATTAACGATCCACGGCTAATTGCAATTGTGCCGAACCGACGAAGCACGCCCGAAGACGAAGGGATTAAAAAATGTCCCGATATAAAAGCAGTAGTAGCTCTCTCTGCCTACAAGAACGCACAACGCGGAAAGGGAGTTAACGCGGGAGAACGGACGAGGAAATCCAAGTAATTAACAACTTTTTGAAGCCAAGGGATAATCTCTGGACGGATTCCCTTCGTTTGGCTGAAAGAGTTTTCCCCGGCGTTAAGCCGTGACCATTTGGCCGACGCGATGTCGTCGTCGTCGTCGTAGAGTATCGTCATCGTTCTCATCTTTTTCCTAAGTACCAGTCCTGCCTCGTTCTACCTCACTGTTTACAATTAAACTTTTTTTCTTCTTTCCTTCACCCACTCGTTGCTTCGGATTCTACCACGTCTGCCCCCGTCACGATTTTGCTTAGTGATTCTAATTGTCGCTGAATTTATTTTCTGGCAATCCCTTTTGCAAGTTTTTGTGAGTTCGGATTAAAAGATTGATTCTGGTACGTTCGACGATTGAAACGAACATTGCTTTATGCACAGCTTCTCGAATGCAGAATTGATCGACCCTGCTTTTAATTCTTTTCTTAAATTCATTGTTAGAAGCAAACATCGATTGATGTTTGAATCCAATTTAATTCTATGAGTTCGCTCGTTCATTCATAAGTGCTAGATTACTGTATTAAATTTAAAAAATAGCATATGTAATCACACGCGAAATAGCGTTACGTGAATATTTAAACAAAAATCTAGAAAGACAGCTACTAGTACCTCACTGAATTAAATCTTCACTTATAAGTTTCAATGAAATAAAATACAATTTTTAATACGATTAATCAGCTAGAAACGTTGATTAATTATAGACAAGGAATTTTGAGAGAAAATTATAGAAATTTCTCTGAGAAATTTCTTTAAAATGAAATAATGCGTCTTATCTTAGACGATTTGATATACTTCAAGGATCGATACGTTTCAATTACATTTCAAGATTTTTTCGATTATCAACTAGTAAAAACCACAAGGATTTAAAAATTCAACAGTTTCCTGAAGTTTAGGTAATTTTCAGATGAAAATTTCGTCATTCAGCAGCGTTGCAAATGTTACAAGTGGATTTTCATGGATGTTAGGTATGAGATCGACATTTCGGCAACAATCCGAGCATAAATTGAACCTTCGTTTTAGCTGAACGCGCTACGTTGAATGCGAACTTTCAGCAACATTCACGAGATATGACTGAGATATGACTAGGTTGCTATTTTACAGTATATATATATAAGGCTACAGAACTCTGGTTATCCCTCTTACGAAAATTGAAATTCTATGTTTTAGTGTTCTAAGAACTTCTCCGATACGACAAACAAAAGAAGTATAATAAGAAGTTTACAAAAGTTGACAAACACTACGAGAATGAGATTCAGTGTAACTTTAAATAAATAACAAAGTGAGTTATTCTTATGAAAACAAAATTCATTGATGCAATTTAAACCAATGTTTTTATTTAAACCGTAATTATACAATAAAATTCGATAAGAAACCATTTCATAGCGTGTGTTGCCATTAGACGAGGAAAATAATGTATTCTTCGCTGAAATTATACTCACTTGAATATTTTTCTTCAATTAAGTGTTCGCCATTTCACGATAATTAATAGAAGGAACTTCAAGCAACATCACGTGAACAGGACATCAAGAGGCCGTCTACCGACGGACTCAATTTGTTCACGTTCAGGTTCAGTCAAACGTTAACGCGAGCATTTCAATATAATTTTGAAACTTTAATGGATTTTCACACGGTATGCCCGTGACACCTGACCGAAACAAATTCTCTAATTTACCATTACGTCACGTGACAACTAATTTCCAACCAATTCAACTAGTCTAAATATTTCTCCCAGCTATCGTCGATTGTATCCCGTTATAAAAACTCTCGCGACAAATTGAGAGCTATAGTTACAGCTACATATTCGTTCGTGTTAAATTTTCATAATTATTGCCTGAAAGAAAATTTCTGAATATTTTTATTCGTTATTAGAGAGATATGTCATACGTATCAAATATTATGGAGTATTTAATTTGAAAAGACACGAAACTTGTAATTCGACACTTGATAGTGCTGGTCCTCCATCGTCTAATCGTCTATGCTTGCTATTACATATTCAAAGTTGTAACTAGTTCGTCGTTTCTATTTGAGCATAAGATGTTACACGCAAACATGTACAAGTGCATACGTATTTACGTGCGTGTGGAGTTCAGTAACAAATCCTGTCGAAAACGTGCCAAGTAAGCAATTATGAGTATTTTTATGCGTGTTCGACGAAAACGTATCACGAGATGTCGAAAGAAAAAAAGACAGTATTTATCATTTTCTGGTACTTTGATTTTTATCGAATACGATCTTTGAAAATCAGAAACGTTTGTTGAAATTTTCTGAGATCGAAATATCTTGAGAAAGAAGAATATACTTATGAAAATGACAACTAGTTGCTAAGAATTATAAATCATGTTCTTTGTGCAACAGCAACGCACATTACGAAATGATTAGTAGCTCTAAACTTAAGAACAGTAGTATATCTATTTGAAACATTCTTCATATTCGTGTACACGGAGCTCTCTCCTTATGTCGTTCATTTGAATCATTAAACATAATTTTATTTCCAGTTAAAAGTCAAACTCACAAAACTTGATCGATATGCTAATATTAAAACTAGCATATCGAAATAATTCATCTCACTCTCTTCCTAGACTCATATTTCCGCAAGGACGACTAAAGAAATGAAGTCTAAGTAGAAACTTGTAACTGCATAAAAATCAACAGTCTATTTCTCATTCGCAGTATGGAAAAAAACCAAAACAGTACCAAAGCGAAAGAATAATAGACAACACGGTAGCGTCTTACTGAAAGCCGTTCCTTCGGTATTCTTCCTTCTTATATTGTAGAGACGCGATCTGTTTGCGCCGGTATACGTAGGGAACGCACACAACAAGCAGCAAGCAGCAGATATGATTCACGCGACACGACGAATGGTTCTTCCATTGTCGGTCGGCTGTTAATTAGATGTCTAGTCCCACAGCTCAAATTCACCTTACGCGCTGAACCAGCCAGCCCATTGTCGCAGCTACTCACGCTGCTCCTACGCCAGTCGACAGCCACTGTGCCGCGACCGACTGCTATGAATGGCCGTGATATTACAACAGCAGAACGTGATGTAAATCCGTGAGAAAGCCATGCGAGGGGCTACGCTATCACCTTGCTCCTTCCAAGTCAAGAAAAGACGATTCTCAGAACACCGTGGCAAATCGTCTCGCTTAGAACAGTCATCTGTTTCTGTCGAATCATTTTCCTCGATTTCTTCCTGGTGTTGTTACGTCTGCTTTATCTCTGCCCTAACTACTCGACTCGTATCGCATGGTTCCGTATTTTCCATTGAACGAATTCTGAGCAAACGCTTGGAACGTGAGTGATGCCAATTCGATCAAATAACGAGGAAGCTATACAATTAACAAAAAGATAATTCTCTGAGACCACATTCTCTATGACAATCATCTGTATTGAAGGCTAAAATTTATTTCGTGAGTTCCTATATTTTCGCAAACTTTAACGACGGACAACATTTTATTACACAACGAAGAAACTACAGAATTAAAAACCGTAACCTTCACATTTAAGAAAATAGCCTCAAAGACTAAAATTGATTTCACAAATTCTTACATCTCCGCAGACTCTCTCTCTCTCTCTCTCTCTCTCTCTCTCTAACGATCGGTTATCTCGCCAAAATAACAGCTCATATCGAATAAGCTAGAAGTCCATAAAAAATACCACATGATAATTCCACGTCGCAGTGTAACCAAGGAAATACAATATACCACGACCCTAGGTGCGGCGATAATAATTATCCAGGGTTTTTTAATTAACGGAGCGCACGTTCCTAGCGAGTTACGTTGGCACTTAACGACGAGCCGAGAAATCGAGAGACGCTGTTACCCCGGCAAAAGGACAATCGTCGTTGGACATTAATTGGCGCCCGAGATCTTTGTCCCGGTACGCGATTCCATTGTGCCGTGCTGGTTGAACAGCCGGAGTCGTCCTGTCACGGTTCGGTTGTCGCATT